AAAACGAGCAGCTAGCGCGGCAGAAACTCCCACCTGCTGTGTTACTTGTTCTTCATGATGCTCTCTGTGTTTTAAACAGACCTATGAGACGATCACAGAGCAGGAGGCCTGATTCCACTCAGTCGGATCTATTGATGATCATCAGTCATTTAGGGTGTGTTCGATTTCAGAGGCTGCATCCTCCAAGGACCTGGTCTACCTGGACTGGGTCTTTCCAGGTCCCTGAAATAAGGAGGCTGTGGATTTTTGGCTTTGGATTGAAACAGGTCCAGCCTACTGAGGCTTTCACCGCCTGTATGCTCTGTTGCCTAGCAACCATTGCAATTGACACACAAAGCAGGAAAAGAATGGAAGCTGAACTTCTCCCTGCTGTTCTGGGTGCTAATAACATTTCTGAGGAGCTTCAGCAGCAGTACCATCGTCTCAGATATCAGATTTATAGTCCTGTGGAGTTAGCTGGGCTGAGAGGGGGTTTCAGAGCGGAGAACTGGGTTTCACAGCTGATTTATGAGCAAAACTGCATCCTCTACTCCAGGGAAAACGTTAAGATGAAACATGGACATTGGTTCTCAATGTCCAAAAATATTATCATGATTTATGGAACAGTTCTTATGAATTCAGTTTTAAATGATCACCCAGCAAATTTTAATTGAATTTTTATTTAATCTAAAACAGCAGAAAAACGGATATAGGGACAAAACCGTTATATGGAGAGCCTTAACAAAAAGCAACCATTTAAATATCTAGGAATATGGTTATATGATAAATATATATGGAAAATCCATGAAGAAAATGTAAAAAAGTGATAAATCTTCTGAAAGCTGTAGCTGGAAGTAAATGGTCTGCAGATAGACAGTCATTACTAAACATATGCAGGTCTTTAATTAAATAAACAATAGATTATGGCAGGTTACAGTACAGGGCATCAGGTGGACAGGAGTAATTCAAGCTACATCCATTAACGCCTTACTAATACAGTCTAGGAGAATGAAATTATCATTAGAATACTGGATACAAGGCAGTAAGGACGACAGTTTAACTTCAACAATTATAGAAAGATGCTGGGAATATTCAGCATTTCAGAGGAATGGATTTGGATGGAAAAATCTACAAATGGCTTTAAATGTTTGGATTAGAGCATAAGAAAAATATCCCAAAATAAATGAAACTAATTAAAATGAAAAATGATTGGAAACTGAATTAAATAGGAATGAAATCAGATTTATAGCAAATAAATACATTTTTCAATTACCTTAAAATATATTCAGATGGTTCTAAGAATAACGAAGGACGTGTGGGATTAGAAATATCTATACCAGAATTCAAAACGTACATCTCTAAACGTCTGTCAGCTCATCAATCAGCTTTTACAGCCAAGATGGTGGCAGCCATGATAAGCTTACAGGGGGTGGAGGACGTTCATCCAGACAGGTTGGTTGTGTTCCAGTTCCAAAGCTGTATTAGAAATTATTCAGGAAAAAATGAAATAATAGACAAGATTTATGATTAGAAATTCAGTCCAGTTTATTTATGTTAGGTAGGGGTGGTATAGATATCTGGTCCTGTTGGGATGCAGAGCGTGAAAAAGAACCTGCAGACAAATGAGCTAAAAGGTCTTTAATGGAGCAAGAAGTGTAACGATTCAGGAAAATCAGTTATAAAGAGTCAAAAACAGAAATATGGCACAAAAAAAAGGTGGGATGATAATGAGAAATGATGTATTAGTTTAAATAGAAGGGAGGAAATAATAAAGACCAGATTAGACTTAGGCTCAGTTTAATTAATCCCTTGGGATTACTCCTTCAGGGAAATTCTGGTTGCAGTAGCTTATATAGAGCAGAAAGAGTTAAAGCAAGATGTTATTAAAGGTACAAATACAACAGACAATATAAAAAGAGTCCATATAGTACAAAAAAGCATTAATAAAAGTTGTAATATCCTGGAATATGTTTCCCTTAGATATAAAAATATCTGCACAGTAGAGAGCTAAGGACAGACTACACAGCAGTTAACCAGATTAAGATTAGTCAGGATTATCTAAATGATACTCTTTATTTAACGGGTTAGAAAAATAATGATAAATGTGAAGGATGTGGAGGGAAAGAACATTTACTGATGAAATGGAAAATAAGAGTCAGAAAGGATGAGATGAAGGAACACAATAGAATAGAGTAAAATAGAATAGAATAGAGTAGAATAGACTAGAGTAGAATAGCAGTAGAAAAGGTAGTAAGTCTCAAAGGATTAATCGGAACAGAAGGAAACATAAATTACATTTATGCAGGAAGGAAACCTTTATTTATTTTCTTATTAAATGATTAAAACAATAGAATGTAGGGGATGAAACTGTCAGAGTGACGATAACTTCAAGATAAATCAGAAATTATGAGGATGGATGAAATGAAGTGTTTATGTTGGGTTGAGTTAAACAGTTCGGAATATTATTATTATTATTATTATTTTCTGGGAGTGAGTCATGTTTCCTGTTTAACTCCTTATCAGTAGGTGGCGGTATGCAGCCTGCGATCCGCCATAATGGAAAAGAAGAAGAAGAAGAAGGGTCGCTAGCAGCAGCATTAGCTTCCTTTGTTAGTGGATTGATTGCAGGGGAATGTGTTGAGTCCAGCTGGAAGCAGAGTTTATCAGCCAGCAGCTTAATCCTGCTGGAGAAATAATCCCAGAGATTAAAGATTAGCTGCGATGAAGAAGGAGAAGATGGATGATCAGCACAGACTGCTGGATTTCACCAGGATCCCCCAGATCATCTTACAGCGGATAGGTAGGAACCATCTGATGCTCCCTCAGCAGCTGCTAAGCTAATATCTCTCCATGCCGCTACACAGGCTAACAAGGCTGAGCTCACTTAGTGGCAGCGGCAGCTCATAGAGGCACTTCCGGTGACAGGTCGGCTCCTACTGCCGCTGACCTGTCGGCTCAGCATACCGCCTCAGGCCGGCGGCATATAAAAAGCGCATGCGCATCACTGTAGGTATGCTGGCCTGACCATATAAGTTAAATAACATTTTGTCAATGTCATTTAGAAGTTGTTTCTCTAAGTGGAGAGATAAAGCTGCAAAAGTCAGACGTGAAATCCCCCCTGCCTTGGTTATTAATACTCTCCCTTTAATAGAGAGATCTCTAAGAGCCATTGGTTTAGCTTTCTTTGACTTTTCTGAATAATGGGTTCAAAATCTAAGGATGCTCTTCTTTGTTGATCTTTAGTAATTATTATACCTAAGTACCTCACTTCATCTTTAACCGTTATATTACAGATGGAGCTGGTGGAGCATTCCTTTATAGCCATGAGTTCACATTTGTTGACATTTACATATAATCCAAAAGCTCTTGAAAACTCTTTTAATGATTCCAAAGCACTAGAGACCTGACATTTATCTTTCAAAAAGAGAGTTGCATCATCTGCAAGTTGAGTGATTATAAGTTTTCTATCTAAGAGAGGGATGCCTTAAATATCACTGGATTTAATATGGTCTGCTAAAAGCTGAGAAACCAGTAGAAAAAGGTTAAGGAGAAATTGGGCATCCTTGTCTAATTCCTCTTAAAAGATCAAATCTAGGACAGGTTCCACCAGTTAACTTTACCGAGCTATTACCGGTAAAGACCAGGGTTCTTACTGACGATGAAAAATAATGTCCGAAACCAAATTTACACAAGGAGTCTAAGATGAATTGATGTTGCACAGGATCAAAGGCTTTATAAAAGCCTACAAATAACAGAAATCCATCATCTTTGAATAGATCTGAATAATCTAAAGTATATAGCAATAATCGTATATTGTTGGTTATGTGTCTGTTGCTCATAAAACCTATTATGGAGTTTAAGACACACTTAAGCCTTTTTATGATGACTAACGCAAACATTTTATAGTCATTATTAAGCAAGCAAATGGGGCGCCAGTTGTCCAGAAATAAACGATCTTTATTAGGTTTGGGAATCAGTGCAGTCAGACCCTGAGTCATTGTGGTTGGGAGACTTTCTTCACTAAGACTCTCTTTATAAACTTCAAACAGAAAAGCTCAGAGGTGAATGTTTAGTAAAATTCTGCTGTTAATCCATCAGTTCCAGAAGATTTGTTGTTTTTGAGAAGTTTAATAGCGTTCAATACCTCTTGCTATGAAGAGATGGACTCCATGAAGGAGTCTGCTGGAGCCTGAGAGAAGCTTGATTCATAAAGCTGTTTGTAGAAATTTGAGCATAAATTAGCTTCCGTAATTTTCGTACTATAAGCCGCGACTTTTTCCCCATTTTTCGACCTTGCGGCTTATATAACAATGCGGCTTATCTATGGACTTTTACAGCTAACGGCCACTAGGGTAATAAAAAATCCACAATAGGATCGATAGACGTGTGGCGCAATAGAAAAAAAGAGAGTCGATAAAAGTTCGATAAAAAAGAAACGCAGTTTTCCTTCCTTCTCATTGTAGCCTAGCATGTAGGG